AGAGAAACGCTGAAGACGAGTACGTCCCCCAGAAGGATTGGGATGTGTGTTGGTGTCTCTTAAGTAACACTCCACATAGTTTCTTCTGTTCTATGCCTGTTTTTGTGTAATAATTGCTAAATGAAGGCTAAGTTCAGCTCTGGCTATAATTAGGTTTTCTAATTTTTAAAAGCATAGCAGATTAAAAAAAAAAAAGCCTGGGCTAATCTGTGTTTCACAGTTACACCCAGTTTTTGGTAACTTGGCCGCCTGCCAAGACACCATATTTCAGCCCTGCTGTTGTTTGGGGGGAGTGTGTCTATTTCCAGACAGGACCCAGTGGTCTCTGAAATGCAAGTTAGCAGCATCCAAATCCACAGAACATGCTGGGGGGCAGGTGATGTCTTTCCAGATTGAGCAGTTTGACACAAGGAATCATGGTTTCTTAAGTGTCATTTGTGACTCTACTCCTTCCAGACAAGGGTGTGGGGTCTTGTGAACACTACTGACCAACTGACAGATTCAAAAACTGCATCTAAGTTCTGACTTAGTTCTAAAGTCAAGGCAGCTTGAGACTTAGATGTAACAAAATAACTCACATTATGCTGAGGGAGCCCCTTAACGTGAAGCATTGGTGACGCCACCTGAGTTTTCTGCTCTGAGCACAAGGAGCTCGAGTACTCAGAGCAAACCGCTGGTCAGTGACCGGGCCGGGCCATTGACCTCCCCAGAGGTGTGGTTCCACCCACCACACCACACCACTGGCTCGGACACATGTCAGAAGGCTTTGTTCTTATTTAGAGAGAGAAATGGAGATTTTATCTTTAGGTCAGAAAACCACGTCATTGCGGGTACCACCAGGTTGCTATTTTGCACTAACAGCGGAGGCTTCAGGGTCCGGTGTGGGCTCTAATCCCAGTTGCCACGTGTGAACTTTCCAGAAGTAAAGCTACTTTACTCCATTTCCTTATTTATAAAACAAGGCTAATGTGGTAAAGATGAGTGAGGCACCAATTCCTGGAAAGCCTGTAACCCAGGGCAACAGCCATCAGTTACTAAATGGTGCCCCCTTTTTGAGCTCAAATTCTGCGGTAGCTCTCTGTGCAATTCTGATCTAAAGCCTCCTGGAACTTACGTTCTCGTGGGAGAGACAAACAAGATAAATCACCAAAATATTTGTATGCTAGTGGTATGTACTAAAGAGAAAACAGAAAGCAGAGAAGGGGGATACAAAATACAGGGGAGGAGTTGAAATTTTAGCTAGGGTGAACAGGTAAGACCTCAGCAAGGAGGAGCTCTGACTGCACACCTGAAGAGTAAGAAGGTGCTGTCTGCAAGGATGTCTAAGGGAGGGCATTTCAGGTGGTGGAGCAGCAGGTGTGGGGGCCCTGAGGCAGAAGCGTGCCTGGTACATGAAGGCACTGCATGGAGGAGGGTGCGGCTGGGGTGGAATAAATGTGGGAGGGAGTAGTGGAGATGAGGTCAGAGAGAGGAGCATCTTGTAGGTCCCAGTAAGGATGTTGGAGGGTTTGAGCAGAGGAGCAGCATGATCTGACTCACGTTTTAAAAGCATCCCTCTGGCTGCTGTGCTGAGAGACTGTTGGAGCAGGAGGTGGAGGGCAAGGTGGTCAGCGAGGTCAGAAGCGTGGAGACCAGTTAGAGGCAGACATGATGATCCAGAGCCCCAGAGTGTCCATCCTCATGGAGTAACTGTGATGTTCCTGACACGGAGCACGGGAGGGGTTTCCTGTGGCCCCGCTCGTTGACAGGTCTTGGGGGGACGGGAGTCAGAGCAGACCATCCTGGTGTTTGTTTCTCTTCAGTAGATTGTGGCACCGTGTAACAGTCACGTTTGCAGAGAACTTTCTCCATGCACTGCTTGTCTGGCGAGTTTTCTTCTGAATGAGGGGAGCACGTTATAAAGTAGATTCTCTTTGTCAGTTGTCACACTGGACGTCCCTGGCGATTGTCCCCTGGCAGTAAGGCTAAACTGAAGTACTGTTCTCATTCTGGCGTGTTGGTCCACCAAAGAGGAGCAGGTCAGCGGGGCTGATGAGAAGTGTGCAAACCACAGAATAGTCTCCACGACCCGCAGACTCGCGCGAGAAGGAGAAGGAAACCCTCTCTGCAGGATGTCGTCGTCGGTTCTCCGTCAAGCTGAAGCTTTGGCTTTTCTTCCTTTTAAACCTTTTGGGTTAGAATTTGCTTCTTACGGCCTTTGAAATTTGTGCTCTATTTAAAGGTGGCCTGAAAAATTATTTCTATGTCTGTATCGGAAAATTGGAGTAACCTTCAAATTTACTAGATAGAGATTCAATCTCAGACTTGTGACTTTCATGCAAACTGTCATGAAATTCTCAAATAAAATTAGTTGTAGTTGTGTGTGTGTGTGTCTGCACCTTAAGGGGAGACAATATGTATTATAAGTCAAATATAACTAGACTGTCACAACTGCAGAAAGGCTGGAGATAATTGATTTACATGAATTTACAGCATCTACTCCGCTGCTGCTCTGACTCAGAGATCCTTGAGTGTCTCTCAGGGACCTGTAGGAGTTGTGACCATTTTAACGAGAATCGGATCAAACATGAATGGATGTGGTGTAGTTTAGTAGCATAATCAGATGTCAGTAACATATGCTCATTATAGATTGAGTATATTTATTTGTCACTTTAATTACAAAATTTATTTCACATTTTCCTTAGGTGGGAAAAAAACAAGATTATCATTTTACATGTTTTATGTATTAAGAATATAAAGTCAATAATATATTGAGATGTCTAATTACAATTTATTCTGTGTTTTTATTTCCACAATGCCTTTATTATTGTTAGTTTGCTTGCAATAAAAGAAAAAATTGAGTACTTGCCAATTCATGATTTTGCTTTCCTAAAGTCGTGTTTGTGTGACCACCAGCTCCATGTCCATGGTATTTAACCATCCTAGACATTTTATGGTGTGATCTCATTAGGTCCTGGGAGTACCCCTTGTGGATGCAGAGGTACACATATAGCCCCATCTTAGAGCAAAGGAAACATCAACGTTTAGGAACGGCCTCGAAGTCACTTGACTGGAAGGTCTGAAGTGAATAGACCAGGTCTTTGCATTCTTGGCCTAGGACCCTGTCCCCAACATCAAACTCCTTTCATTAGCTCGTGTGTGGTCTTTTTCAGATTTGTGGAGCTCTACTGGTTGTAGAATCAACAGATATTTGCAGCGAGATTAATTGAATAGCAGTGAACAGTGATGATAGTGTTCTTCTAAGTGTTTGAGATTTCTAACTGATGCATTTCTGCACATTTCTTACCTGTGTCACCTTAGAAACGTGCATTAAACCCAGAAAGGCATCCACATCTGCTTTGTAAAGATAGATAAACCCTCACAAACATAATGTTGAGTGGAAGAAGTAAGTCACAAAAGAGGACATGCAGTGCGGTTCCTCTTAGAGAAAGCTCAGATCCAGGGAACGAATCTGGGGTTGGAGGTCGGGAGGGCAGTTACCCTGTTTGGGGTAGGGGGGTGTCCTGAATGGACCTGGGGCTGGCCACACAGGTGTTCCCTTGGGAAGGTTCATTGCTGTTTATTCTTAAGTAAAACTCTTTTAAATGCATTATTTTCATAGGTGTGGTTAGTTTAAATGCTTTCGACTTGAAGAGTAATTCTTACACATTTATTGTAATTATAACCTGCCATTTCCCAACAAAGTCCATTGCCCTTCTTCTGTTGTTCTTCCTGAGCACGTTGCATTTCTTTTAAGTTCTTAGAGTTTCCTTGTCACAGAACCAGCTGCTGTGAAGTCCACGATAAAATGCTTGTCAAAACGACTTTTCTGCTTACACTTTTTAAGATGTTGTGGGAAGAAAGGTGTTGTTGAGAAGGCTCCCAGTTAGGGTGTTAATCTGTGTCAAAGCAGACGCTGCTGGAAATGCTTTCATGGAATTCTGATAAGGCTCGGAGCAGAGCCTTAGTCAGCTTCTTATAAGTTAACAATTTCACACCGATTTTTTTCCATGTAAATGGTTTCAGAAGAGCACAAATAATTGAGCAACAATAGCTCTGTCATTTTTGAAATGTTCCATCAGGTCGGAGCCTAAAGGAAATGAGATTGAGGCTAGAAGTTACTTTGAGCAAAACTAAATTTTAATAAAAATGAAAACTGATGGCCACAGCTGTGATGTTTCTCTGGGCTTCTAATGTTAAACTAAACCCATAAGCTTTCTGACCACAGTAAATGTAGGAAAAGCAGGAAAAACTTAAGAGATTTTGTGCGTCAGCAAAACCTCCTCATGGTGTGGAGATGAAGACCTCTGTGGGGGCTGGCCCGGTGGCGCAAGTGGTTAAGTGTGCGTGCTCCGCTGTGGCGGCCTGGCGTTCGCTGGTTCAGATCCCGGGCGTGCACCGACGCACCGCTTGTTAAGCCATGCTGTGGCAGCGTCCCATATAAAGTGAAGGAAGATGGGCACGAATGTTAGCCCAGGGCCAGTCTTCCTCAGCAAAAAAGAGGAGGATTGGCATCGGATGTTAGCTCAGGGCTGGTCTTCCTCACAAAAAAAAAAAAAAAAAGAAGACCTCTGTGAATCATATATACTGTGGGTCATGCTCAGGATGATGAGTAGGTTTCTTGCAAATCATTGCTTCTGTTCCTAAATGTGACCAATTCTTTTGACTTCCTTCAAATCAGTTTAAATTAAAAAAAAAGGGGGGGGGCCGGCCCGGTGGCGCGAGCAGTTAAGTGCGTGCACTCCACTGCGGCAGCCCGGGGTTCCCTGGTTCGGATCCTTGGCGCGCACCGACGCACCACTTGGCAAGCCATGCTGTGGTGGTGTCCCATATAGAGTGGAGGAAGATGGGCACAGATGTTAGCCCAGGGCCAGTCTTCCTCAGCAAAAAGAGGAGGATTGGCAGATGTTAGCTCAGGGCTGATCTTCCTCACAAAAAAAAAAAAAGAGAGAAATGCATTTTTAAATGTTTCTGCCAGCTGTTTACACGCTACGGCTTCTTCTTACTTTTTCCCCCTGCAGGGTTCCATCTCTTCGTCGGAAGAGGAAAGACTTATTTCCATCAGGAGACCTAAGACGCCAACCTCAAGTGACTTCTCCGACCTTAATACTCAAACCAACGGGGCCAAGTCACTTCCCTTGCCGACCCCGGAAGAAAAGACGCGACAGCAGGCCCAGGCGGTCCAGGCGGATGTGGTTCCCATCAACATCACGGGTATGCGTCCTGTGCAGACCGTTCCCGGGGCTCGGGCGGGCGACATGGCTTCTTGTCTGTTGTGTGCTCTTAGCGTTTCATGTATTCACCAGAGGTCAGGAGCTGTGGCCTGGCATCCGGCTCTGTTCAGTGAAGGGAATGTTAACACGTGTATGTGTGTGCACGTAGATATCTGTCACTCTGGATTACAAGCCTGTGTCACCACTGGTTGATGTCAGAGAGCTCAGTGGTCCAGCCAGTCATCTAAAGTGTGTCTTTCTTAAATGAATTGCTTTTAAAAAATATTTTGGTTATATGGGAACATCTTCTAAGTGTGATCCTGGGTAAGAAAAAATTATTTTCCCTTCTAAAGGGCTATTTTAAGTAATATTTATAGAAGTGAAGAAATAACAGTTTTGTAAATTTCCAAATGATAGATTTTCTTACCTTCTTGTTTTCTCAAGTAGAAAAGGGGGAAAATTACTTGAAATAAAAATATCGAGTGAATTAACAATAACTATAAAATATATTTTATAAAAAACAATAGGATGGTAAAATTATATTTTTATGTCTATAATTTGAATTCTACAGTCTTCAAATAAAAATCTGTTCCTTCTGAATATAAAATTTTTAGAACATTAAGCTGGAGTATGAATGTTAATGGCCAAATGTGAAATTTGAGTTTTTCAGAATATTATACTCAGTTTTTAATCATCTGTGACAATTAAGGTGACAAATAACAGGGTAGGTAAAGCTCCAGGACGGTATTTCACAAACCTCGGGGGGCTGTGAAGAGTCTGGAGTCTTCTTGCCTCATCAGGTCCACACCAGCAGAGCGTGGGTCAGCTGTACAGAACAGATGTGTGTTCAAGAGAAACAGATTACCCATAGTCATCGCTGATAATCAGTCCATGCAAAGCATGGCCCAGGGGCCAGGACCTGAAAAAATCAGGTGACCAATCAGGATGAGTTTTCATAAGAAACTAGGATGAACCCCTAGCACCCTGGCTGTGTCTGAGGCTACAGCTGTTAGCAAGATTGTGGCCATGGCAGTGGTGCACTTGTCAGGGACTAGAACATTTCGATAGTTATTGAAGAATTTTTAAAAACATTACAAGGTGATTAAAAAATACATTTAGAACTCTATTTTGAATTCCAGAGAAATTTAATAGACAAGTGCATGAATTACTTTAAATTCCATGTGCATTTTTCCACATTTATTGTACATAAGCCTTAAAGGAATAGCATGGCATTTTATCCCATTTTCTTTGCAAATGACATTGTAGATCTTTCTTTTCTTTTTTTTTTTTTTAAACTTTTTTTTTTAATAATTTTTTATATATTTATTTTTTTTCCCCCAAAGCCCCAGTAGATAGTTGTATGTCATAGTGGCACATTCTTCTAGTTGCTGTATGTGGGACGCGGTCTCAGCATGGCCGGAGAAGTAGTGCGTCGGTGCGAACCCGGGATCCGAACCTGGGCCGCCAGCAGTGGAGCGCACGCACTTAACTGCTAAGCCATGGGGCCGGCCCTGTAGATCTTTCTGAGTGTGATTCACATAGATCATAATTTTTAAAGATTGTTTTTATAAGTAGCTATGTTTCAGAACAAAGTATAATGTTTATTGCTCAATGAAATACCTGGGTGCATATTTTCTGTAAGAAAACACATTACATTATTTGATTGATTAAAGATAGCAGAAATGTAATTACATTATATATGATTAAATGCTGCAGAAATAATATTATAAGATAAGATGATTATGCTATGACATATGACAGTCGTTAATGGAATTAGGATAAAATGCATTATTGTGAGATTAGGAAATTTAAAACAGAGTAACTAGAGTTTCAGGAATAAAGAATTATTTGCAATGAAAATAGAAATTGTCACAACAGTAGACAGTGTCACAACAGTGGACAGTGTCACAACAGTGGACACTCACAACAGTCGACAGTGTCACAACAGTGGACAGTGTCATTGCTTTGAGCTTTCATTTGCCCATTTGGTGACTAAGTGGATATGACGTACATAGAATTTAAAAGGAGGCCTTCAGAATGCCACACAGGAAAGATGAGTGACAGTAAAGAAATGAGCAATATGAGTTATGTCAAAATGCAATTTACTTTTAATTGACTGATTAGTATTTTCAGAAATGCAAAAATTAAATATAATACCTAATTATTTATTGATCCATTTTCTGGATCCATGTGTTCACATACACATATATTTCATAAAGAGAGTGGTTTTTCTAATATTCTGGTATAAAGAAGCATTAAATTAAAAATGTTCACTTTCAGTGGTTAAATAGACACAGGTTATATAGCTTCCTGTTCTTTAAATTATATATTTCTAAAGACCTAGACGACTAGGGATAAAAATGTAGCTTCCTGTAGGGACTTATCACGTGCTCATTTATTTGGGTGAACATTGACTCTCTAGCTTTTCAATAAGGTTCAGCAGGGGAGAAAATGCCAATAAATACATTATTTCAAACCCAGAGTGAAGCCTGCCAGGCATGTAGGTGGAACATTAGCACAAAGAGCTACCGGTTTGTAAATTGACTTAATCCCTTTAGTCCTTGTCCCATGGGGACCCATCATGTTCTAAGAATTGCAGAGAAGAACCTGTCTAAAATGGAATGCGTGTATGAGTGTATTCCGTGACCCGCCACGTGGGGTAACAGCTCTACCACCCGGAAGACGGACAGCGGGTCAACACACTTGGTCCCACAGACGGACCTTGTGCTGCTGTCTGAGCGACTAAGTTCGTTTCTGAGTAGTAACCATGACTGACTAACGCCCTTTTTCAGTGAAAGGGAATGATTCAGCTCCTCTCCATTCAACAGGTCCTTACTGAATTCCTACTTTGTGTTGGGCATTGAGCTGAATGCCACAGGGGATGCTACGGTACATGAGTTCTGGTCCCTTCCCTCGAGAAGTGTGTAGTCCCGAAGAGGACAGTCCTTCTAGGTCAGGAGAACTTGGCACCTTTAATGGTGTGTGTCTTAGATGTCTGTCCTCACTGGTCGTTTCCCAGTTTCCTTGGAGCTTGAGTAGTTTATCTTTTGTTTTTGTTTAGGAAGCAAACTGGAGACTGAATGCAACTGTCTGTTAATGTTTTGTCCATTCTTAATGCCTTGATTCAAGGACATTTTGTTCCTCTGCTGTAGGGAACTGTTGGATCATTGAAGTCATGACTGACCCCTTACAGGCACCATATGTGCTATCACACATAGTGACCCATTTCTCCCCGTGATGGACCTTCTGGTGTTTCAGGGTCTTTTCTCAACCATTTCTGGTTTTCTTCATTTGGAACACAGTTGCAAGCATTTTCAAGTTTGCTAGCATCTGTTGCAGTTTGTTGCTTAGCAGGTGAAAGGATCATTCAGATCTTCTATCCTCTGTTTTGATTAGATAAGGTTCTATTCACAATTTATTCCTGTTAAAATAGAAGGTACATTGCTCATAGCATACTCACTTTGAATGTGTGTCAACATTGCTAGAAAGAGTGAATGTTTTTATACTTTTCTTACAACAGAAGAATGACGGAAGTATATAAGTTTTGTGTGTGTGTATATATATTTTAAATCTCTTTTTGAGGAGAATAACCATTTAACAAGGAAAATGCTATAAAACTTGACAGTGCCAGATAATTTAAAGCAGACCAATTAATATCTGATACTTTATTATTTTATGGTTTCCCATGGTGTTAATCACACAAAAGTTACACTCGAGAAAGAAAAACAGTCTCATGGGTGTGGCATTCTGGGTTTGATTGCAACATTCCCCGAAATGTCTGAATGAAGATCAACTTCAGAAAGTGACTGTGAAACAGAGAAGCAGTTCACTTTAACAAGCTGTGCTCCTGGGTCTCATTGTGATGAAAGTACTTTATCATTATAAGGCTCTTTATTTTCATTATAATTGTATCTCACACCATAGCAATTACCACAGTCTGTCCAAATTGTCAGCCTCCTCGACTGAAAGAAAAAGCTCTTCATCCAAGAATTCTGATTTTTTTTGTTTCATCACATGAGACCAGACATGATATTGGTCTCGGCAGTTGACCGAATGGCGTCACCACGTGAACGCTGATGTGGAGAGTGGTTTCGGTGACCAGAGGGCCTGTGTGAAATGCTTCCAGAATGGTCCACCGTTTAATAGCACACTCACTCTTCCATGTGTTACTAACAAGTTTGCATTTGCCACTCCGCTCATTTGACAATGAGAGGAGGGTGCCTCCTTCGGAAGGACACACACACAGCTTGGGAAGGAGCCTTATGATGAAAATGTGCTCTCCTGCCTTTTTTCCCTTCAGCGTTCATTCATCATGTGACTGGCTAACATCATGATTAATACCTTCTTATCATTTTACAACAAGCTTCTGGAAGAACGTGCATGGTGTCCGCTTGCTGGGAATAACATGGCTTTGCTTGTTCTACTTGCTCCACATTAGGGGAGAATTTCGATCGCCAGGCCAGCCTTCGGCGGTCTCTAATTTACACAGACACTCTGGTAAGACGACCGAAGAAAGTCAAAAGGAGAAAGACTATTGCAGGAGTCCCTGACAGCATACAGAAGGAGCTAGGTATGGCTCACCAGAATTGTGTTCTGTTGCCCTCGTTGCTGCTCAGCATCCCTGTGCTCACCCCCGCTGTGTGCTCGTGAAATTGATACGTTCTGAGAGCCTGAATGAGGCGTTGGGTGCAAACCTTGACACCCATGCAGGTTTACTGAATTCTGCTGAGAAGGTAAGAGGAAGAGCTTATGTGAAAACTATTAACTGGGATGATAGACATTTACAGTGATGTCATCATCTCTGTGCACCATGAACATGGGGTATTTCCACAACTAAATTTACTTTTAATTTAGATCTTAAGTTTTCATAAAACTGAAAACTTATTCTAGGACTTCAAATTATGCACATGGACTTCATTAGTTATACTGACAATATTGGTGGCATTTTGTCATCAAAGAGACAGCAGTGTGGGATAATTAGTAAATACCAGTACAAGAGAAAATAGTCATTTATGTTGCATAGTGCCTTAATGGTACTTCCGTGAAACAATTTCATGGCTTCTTGATTTGGTATTTTTCAACCTGTGATAAAAACAGAAAACAGAACATTTTCTTTGGCTGGAGGAGAGGGTGTTTACTTCATTATTCACTTATCCATTTTGTTTCTGCTTATCTTTGTGTCTGCTTTGGGTAATCCTTCCATTCTCCTCTCTCTGTATTCACATCCTCTCCTGGTTCAATGGGGCCCATCAGAAATGTCTGCACAGGGCGCAGAGTCTAGAGGGTGGGGAGCAGGGCCTCCTGTGCGAGGCTGCTCATATCTGAGTCGAGCTCTGCCACTTGCTCTCTGGATCTCCCTGGTCACTTCACCCCCGAATCTCCTTCCTCGTTCCAAAAATGAGGTTGGTGATGTTGACAGAACCTCTCTCGTAGGGTGGTTCGAGGGTCTAATGAATTTGTGCTGGTGAAGCCGTGGTGCCTGGCTCCCCTGTGAACACAGCAGCTGCCGTTGCAGTTACTGTAGAGGACTCGTTACTACCTGGCGGGAAACATGCCCCTTTCTCTTGGGCCGCCCTGTGGAGTTAATTCCTGACGGGTACTTCCACCTGGTGTTTTCACTTGTGTTTCCTACTGAAAGTTGCACTCTGGAAACTCAGAACATGGTTTCTGACTCGCCTCTTGGTCTTCTGGTCACAGTGAGTTCATCCTTGCATTCGGACACGATCCTTCCTCTCTGAGGAAGCACTGCAGACGCTGTGCCTCTGTTTCCTGGCCTCTCTTATCTGCCTCATGTCGGGAGGGGAGCTCACCCTTCTTTCCTTGGCACCTTCTCTCACTGCCATCCAGTTCTGCACTGGTGTGCTCTCCCTCCCGGGCTGTGGCGGCCGTGTGATGGAGGAGCGGTGCTTGGCGTCACCCCATAGCTCCAGGGAGAGGGCAGACGGGCTCCTCTTAGCCAGCAGCATAGGGGCTCCTTACAAACAAGGGCTCGGTTGCGTCCCCAGGATTCACAAAGTCTGCCTCTGGCTCATGCCTGCGCCTACCCTTGATGTAGTGGTCCATCCTCCTGTATCCTGTGCTTTCAGACTCTTTTCCTCCTTTAGGTGACAGCTAATTAATTTGAGAAATTAATATGTTCTCGGATGTTCAGTAGATGCCTAAGGGGCTAATTCCTTACAGCACTCAGATAACATTTATATTTTAACTGATCTTTTAGAAGATGTACCTTGACCAAAGGAGTGACTTTAAAGGTAGGCCCTTTATAAGATAACGAGGTGACGTTTCAAGAGAGGTTAAGTGGCTCTCCAACCAAAATAGGTAGGTTTTGGATGACTTTGTGCAAAGAGTATAAGAATAATTTGGCCCAGATAAAGATATACATACACATAAGTGTTCAATGTGAATTATCTATCTATCTGTCTGTAATATGATTTCTAGAACCTCAGCATTATGAACTTTTATCACTTTTATTACTGAACCAACCAGTATGGAGCCAATAACCCAGTGGCCTCTTTGACCTTACCGGAATGATCCGACCAGCTGGGTAAATCATGTCTCCTGTAATTTTAATATTTTTAAGATCAGCGATTGAGTCCCTGGCGCCCACGTTCATTTCTCTTTTGCACGTAACGTAGAAACACCCCTGATGCAGGAGGAAAAAAGGCAGCTCTGCCCACGTCATCTGCGTGGTGATTGTTGCCATGGTGTGAGGCTGACGTCACTGCCTTGATGTCTAGGACATGACCTGGGTCACAGCTGGGGGTCACCGGAGAAGGCTGCATCTAAGTTAGAGCTAGTTAAAAAAAAACACAGTTAGACAGCAGCTCTAGTCTAGGGATGGGCAGGTTGGCCGGACTGGTGGGTGGAGGAGGGAAATGACTCTTGAACACGGTAATACTGAGCACAAAGTCGGATCACAGCTTTTCTCTCTTCACCTCATGACCTCTGGCTGACCTTGCCCTTCCTCCCCATAGGGTGTACATACACAGTGTCTGGTTTGAAAGCTCTGTGCTACCTGACGAATGACCATCAAAAACAGATACTTCCTATTTCTTTAAAAATTAGTCTCCTAGATTTACAGCATAGGGAAGTATGGCTGAGTCAAACAAATTAGATTAAAAAAGGAAATGATTATCTGAGGAAAGACAGTCACTGGGGAGGGGCACTGTGTCCACGAGACTCTGCCCACATAACCAGAGATGCCTCTGGAATTGGACAGTTGTATTGTGCTTAGTTATGTACACTTTTTACTTCAAAATCCATAAATAGCAGACTCGAAAAACCAGCCGATATACAGTGCTTTAAAGTCAAGGAATGATATTTACTCTTTAAAGTACATTTATGGCTTATAATTTGTTGCTTTTCATTTAAATGAATCAGACAAAATTTCTCACTTTTTCTTTAGTCTTATTATCTTAAACGTACATAGAAATGTATTTGAACAGCCTGTTACGAGGCTTCGTCTTTAGAATCAGATAGACTGTTTTGTGGGTCTGTAATTATATTGGCTGCTGCATAGTTTGGATCCTCCTGGAACTTATCCCTATATGTGCTCCCCAAGCAGAAAAAGCCTCACTTAAAGGAATCCCCTTCTGAATAATCTTTGATAGTTTGTACTAAGAACATTACTGAAGACCTGACAAAACTTTTAAAAAATTTATATACTAAACCTTAAATAAACTAACTTGTAGATTTCTATCATCTTTGATTATGTATATTTTTTATAAATTGGTCAAACCTTGTAGTATTATATCATAAGTCAAAGAAAAAAATATACATAATTATTTCTTTACATTTTATTTTAAAATCAGATAAATGCCATCAGGATTTTTAGCAGCACTGAGAGGTCCGCAGCTGTTTGAATTCTCCTTTTGTTGTCTGTTTTTGTTACTTAACTCTAGTTAAGGGAGCATCCATCTGTCTCCCATAACGTGGTGACACATTTTGTACTGTGAAGATAGTGGAGGACCTGTTTTGGGAATAGAGTTTTGGTGGTCCCTGTGATAAATATCTGAACTGTTTTTCATATGTTTTTAAAAGTCTTTAGGAGAACATTGTTATTTCAATAAGAAAGTTGTACTCAGCTGTAGATGGTAAAGAAACGGCCCTGCTCCCATTTTCAGAAGCTTAGAGTAGCTTCACGTTCAAAACTGCTAACTGAAATAATCAGGACTTTGTTAATGGCCCTTAAAAGTTAAAACCTACCACTGACTCCAGGCAAAAACGACTACAATTTTGAAAGAAAAAGATATTAAAACTCATTGAAGGGAATAAGGTATCTTGAATGTTTGGAACTAAACAGGCGCAGCCATACAGGTCAACCTCCCACCTCCTAAAATACCAAGTGGCAAACACGTGCATCTTTTGTTTTCTTTCCTCCAAGTGGTCTTTCTTCTGCTCCTGCCCTGTTGCCCACTTCCCTCTCTCTGAGGGAGCGCCTCATGTGCACACGTGAGTGAGTGTACTTGGCCAAGGGTGGGGGAGGAAACAGATCCTTTCTGCTAAAGACACGAGTATGAACATGACTCTCCATCATCCCAGTGGAGGAAGGGGCTGTAGGCTTTATTCCTCACAGGACGATGCGTCCTTTGTGGCTGACACAGAACAGTTCTGCCATTTTAGGAAGACCCTCTGCTGTCTGGATGAGCAAAAGGCTTTATGTCTAGACAGGGACAGGTGGCATGCATGGGTTAATTTACGTGGGGTCAGGCGGAGTTCCAGGAATCCCATCCCCACGAGGGTCCCTGCCCAGGGGAACAGCGATGCTGGGGCTCAGCTAATGTGGCTCAGCGAAGCCCAGGCTTGAGACTTTTTCAGGTCCTTGTTGGATAATGACGTAGAGAGAACTGTGATTTTGCTACTATTTTTCAAGATGTAATTTGTCCTCATGATCACTATGCACAGGTTGATTTTTCCCTGTACACGTTGGGTAAGTTCTTGGCTTCATGATTTTATTCAAGGCCTCTGTTTTTTCTTAGGTAGCTTGAAATCTGTCTACACTTAAGGTTTTTCCTCGTCCACTTCTCCCTGTTTGGCCTTCCTCATGCCTTTTTTTTTTTTTTTTTTTAAACATACTACTCTCTGTTTGGCTGTAAAGCTCCAAGAAATGAGTAACCCTCATCTGAGGAAATGTTCCCTGGATTAGTTCCTGCTTTCTCCCACCAGAACTTGACAGATTGCTACTGAGTTTTGAATGTCACTGACAGACGATAATGGCGTAAGATGGATAATGAAATGTTTGAAACACAGATGGGCCTGTAAATTGTTTTTCTTAGGATTTCCTTCTGACATAGAAAATAAGTGTGATTAGCACTGTTTTACACCAGTGTCCCTCATAGATGGCCTCTCTGTGGCCCTGTTGTTGCCACTCTGTCATCTGTCCTAGGAACGATGGTCACTGCTCAACAGATGCTCTGTGCACTCCCCTGGTGGGTGACAAGCTTCCTTGAAATCTCCTAAAAGGAGGTTATTTGAAAAGTAAATCTTCCACAGAGCACTCATCCTTGGTCTCAAAGGGAGCACCTAGGAATTCCCGGTGCAGCATTTAATCTGTGGCAGGAGCTGGAGTTCAAATCCAGAGAAGTGCATGAAATTCATAATAAGGTTTTACGTTAGCAGCTGTTAGTAACTATTGAAACTCTCAGGTGCCTACAGGAGAAAAGAAACTAGATCAGATGGAAATTTTTTTAAAGTACAGCAGAGTCAGAAGGGGGTGTGGGTACAGGTGATGAACTAAGACAGTTGTTTTTATTTTTAGGTAACAAGACTCTTTCTGCTTTACTTCCAGCATTAGGCACTGGCCAAGATGATGGTGGTGGTCCCTCAGTGTACACCCCGGACCACTACTCTTCACTGGGACGGCTTGGCAGCTATGGGTCTGCTGGGCAGCGCTCGGAAACCAGGGACTCCAGCTGTCAGACCGAGGAGGTGCGAGTGGTCCCGCCGTCAATGAGAAGGATCCGGGCGCAGAAGGGGCAGGGCATTGCTGCGCAGATGGGTCACTTCTCCGGCTCCTCGGGGAACATGTCTGTGCTGAGCGATTCTGCGGGCATAGTGTTCCCTTCTCGCCTCAACCACGAGGCGGGTTTCCGCAGCCTGCCACGCTGCGCAGCCAGGGCGAGCGCGCAGTCCCTGGAGCCGAGGCTGGGGGCCCTGGGCCCTGCAGATAGCCTGGACGGCGCTTTCCCCTACGAGAGGGATGACCCGCAGGTAGAGGGAAACTCGGGACATTTAGGAGGCGCCTCAAGGACTGGGACACTTCTGAGGCCCAGATCGCAGGAGCTGAGGCACTTCGAGGGAGAAAACCTAACCAGCCCGGCGTGCGTGGTGTCTCCCCACGCGGCCTACTCCACCAGCATCATCCCCAACGCCACGCTCTCCTGCTCCTCGGAGGTCATCGTTATTCACGCCGTGCCGTGCTCAGGGCCGCTGGACAGCAGAAGTACCAGCTCCTCCTCCCACACGAAGATAAAATCCAGGGACCGCCTCCTCTCCAGGCGCGCTGGTCAAGATGACCGTCGATCTCCCAGTGGCAGCTGGAATGAGGGTCACTCCTCTCTCTTACAGGCCTTAGGCCCCCATTCCCCCAGTGCAGCCACACTGCTGTCCCTCTGTGACTCTGCGGTCTCTCTAAAGACCCCGGCACATCTGGAGAACGGGTCCCCCGGCGCGGCCTTCAGCTGTAGAAACAAGCTGGGCTTCCCAGCGCTCCCTCAGGATGCGGACGGCGGGAGCGAGCCCAGTTATTCCGGAGGCCGGGGGCCTGGCGGCGCGGAGCCCTGGGAATGCAGCGCCACCGGGAAGCCAGGGGCGGCCACTCCTGGTTACTCCAGTCCCGTCAGTAACCTGAGCAGCTGCAGTCTGGACCAAACGTCGAACAAAGACGATGCCGGGTCCCTGTATTCGGGGGACCACGATGGCTACTACGCATCCGTATACCCCGACTCTGGACGCGGACCTGTGGATCTCTGCAGCAGCGGTGACAGCTTTGGGAACCCCAGGCACAGCGTGGTCAATGTTTTCGATGAGAGAGCTCAGAAGAGCCAAGGGAACCGGTCCCATTACCACGACAAGTCCCTTTCGCGAAGCATCTCTTTGAAGAAGGCGAAGAAGCCTCCCCTGCCGCCGTCGCGGACGGATTCTCTGCGCAGGATGCCCAGGAAGGGCGCCCCGGGCCCCGGGCAGGCGCTGAACGGGGGCCCGAGGGCCTCGCCCCCGCACGCGCTGCGGCTGGACCTCGGGGGCACGGGCGGCAGCTCGTCCTCCCAGAGCCCCTGCAGCGACGCAGACGAGCCGTGGCTGCCGCGCTCCCGCAGCCAGAGCACGGTCAGCGCGGGCAGCAGCGGGGCCTCGGCCACCACGCCCACCGCCTCCTCCCTGTGCGGGGCCGTGCACAGCGACACGAGCAGCAGCAGGTCCGAGGGCGCAGAGCTCTGGCCCCAGTGTGCGGACGGCCCCGGCTCGCACGGGGACGCGGGGGCCGGGGGCGCGCCGGCGGGGGGCGCGCGGGGATGGCCTGTGCACGGGGGTTGCGGGGCCGCCGGGGCTGGGTGCTCGGTCGCGGCGGGGAGCCCGGCACGCAGGGTAACCTCGCCGTCCAGCGGGTACTCCAGCCAGTCCAACACGCCCCCCGCACTCACCCCAGTGCCCGCGCTCCTCAAGGCTAAGGCCAAGCCCAGGGTCCCCGAGAGGAAGTCCTCCCTGGTTTCCTCGGGGTCCTTGTCCGCGTCCTCCACATCCCTCTTCTCCAGCACCTCGGCGGACGGGGGTGGGACCGCAAGGACGCCGGCCCCCGCACCTCCTTTTCCCCCTCCGCCTTTCCCCACTCCGCCTCCCTTGGCGGAGACCCCCGAGGGCGCTCTTCTGCCTCAGTCCCCCTTGTTCCCCCCTCCGCCACCACACCTGCTCCCCCCTTGTCCCCCCACGGTCCCCGGCCCCCTGCTTCTGGAATCCTCTGCCCCTGCAGTGCCCCCGCCTGCCCCACCCCTGGACCCTAAGCTGCTGGAGGATGCCCGGCCTCCTTTTAGAGACTCTGGCCGGGCAGAGCCCCCGCGGGAGGCCCGCCGTCGGCCCCCGGACCCGGAGGAGGGCAGGCCGCCCCCACTGATAACCCGGGAGGCGCTGCGCACCGTGCAGCTGCGGCCGGTGAGGACGATCCTGGGGCCTGAGGCAGCCCCGTCGTGCGGGCAGGGACCCCGGGGAGAACTCACGCCGGCCACTCCCCAGGACCGCGGGAAGCCGCCTGCTTCCCCGAAATCCCGAAATAGCGCAAACGGGATGCAGAGCGAGAGCACACCCGCCTGCGCCCCCGGCTCGCGTTCCACTCCCGCTGGGAGCCCGGGCGGGGGCCGCGGGGACACTGGGGACCCGGGGGACCCAGGGGCTGGGCCTGGCCCCTCGCCCAGCAGGAAGCCACCCCCCATCGCCAAGAAGCCCAGGCTGGTGCTCGTGGTGCCGCCTCCGCAGAGACAGCTCCCTGCGCCCGGCCCCCCTGGGGGAGAGGCGGGGCGCTGCGCGGCCGGGGCCGGGCCAGAGGAGACTGCCGCGGCGTCCGCGTCCCCGCACGCTGTGGACGCCGATGTCCCCGCGGTGCAGCCCGACGCCCGGCGGGCCTCCGAGCCGGAGGAGCCGGAGGAGCGGCGCGCAGAGGACGGAGCGGACCGCACGGGAAGCTGCTCGGCTCTGCAGGACTCGCGGCGTGAGTGCTGTCCCCTTCCCCTGTCCACACCCCCCCCCCTCCCCGCCGAGCGCTGACAGGTGGGCCGGCTCCCCCGAGAGCCAGCGGTGTGGGGCTTCTGTGCCCCTCGCGCTCGGGGTGCCGATTGCGTTTTATGAGATTTTCAAAATTCTAGACCTGAGGGTAGAGCTTATAGAGGAGAGAAGAGAGGGATGGGGTGGCCTGCAGCAGCCGGGGTCTTCTCCTGGGGAGCCGCAGAGACGCGTTACAGCAAGAGGAGGCTCGCGGGGGGCACTAGAGCGCAGCGGAAGAGCGGGCCCTGGCCTCGTGCCCCTCGTCCCCATCTTTGTCAGATGCCCAGCCCCGGACCCATGCCCTCCCGGGCTCTCGGGATGGCGGGAGTCCTGGGGGGCTTGGCTGAAGACTGGACTCAAATAGCTGTCTTGCCTTTCTCGCTTGCTTCTTCGTAGCTGGGGTGCCAGAGCCCGAGGCAGCCGGCCCTTCCTCGGAGGCTTGGGACCTCCCCAAGGAAGAGGGGAGCGATGAGGCCATGACCCCCAGCAGGCCCCGGACCACGGAGGACCTCTTCGCAGCTATTCACAGGTGTCCAGAACTGCTTTCTTGGGTTAATCTGCTTTGTGAGGCCCGTTACCAACGGCCTCTCAGCGTCTTGTTCTGTCCTGAGGTTTCTTCTGTCACCCAACTAGGATTCATTAACTCGATTGTTGGTTTTTTTGGTGTGTTTCTATATTTTTATTTTCTCTGATTTCAGTATCTGTTTCATTTTGTTCTGATTTTTGTGGTGCCGGGGGCAGGGGCTCCATGCAGTGCCTCCTGGTGGGCACTGCGCTGGCTGGCAGAAGTGCAGCATGTCAGCCCCATGCCAGGGTGTGTGTTAGGGTGAGGGCCCCTCCAGGAGGAGGAGCACTGTGTCCTGTGGGTGGAAGGTGCACAGGCTGGTTCTACAGGACTTGTTTCTTCTTGGTGTTTTATTTTATTCTTATTATTTTTATTTTACAGAAAAACCAAGATTTTTGAGTGCAATTTCTTTGGCTACTTAAATGTTTCAATAAGAGAGTACATCTTTTTTAAGCAGAGGCGAAAGTAGCTCAGTTTGCTTCTTAGTGTGTACTGCTAGTGCCACCTACTGGCATCAGAAATTATTGGGCTTAAAAAAATGCAGAGTAAATTTTTCAAAATAAGTGCCTGAACTGTTATACTTTTTATATGTGGTCACCTTGAAGAGGGAATGTGATTTAGCACTAAAGTTTTATTTATTGCTTCATTTTCCTGGCTGTAAACAGCTGAGCACTGCCCAACAGTGTTGGTGTAAAAACTGTTAGATGCTGTGTGTGCGAGTGCTCTAAACCGCCCTGCTGTGGAAGCCCTTGCTTCCTCCTGGACGTCTCTCCGCAGTGTTTTCAGACAACCTGTGGATGCCTTAGGCCGCCAAGGCCTGGTGTTGCCCTGAATCAAAGTCCCTTTTTCTCCTCCTTAAACAAGACATCCTATCAAATCGTTTGATTCTCTGTGAATAAGCTGTATCGGGACTGTTTTCCCGATTCTTGGAATCTGACTGAAAAGACTGTTGCACGAGCTGGAAAGCACAGTGGTGTCCCCCCTGAAACTCTTCATGTGACAGATAAACGCTGACTGAGGGGCACCCAGGCCGCGAATGGAAGTGTTTGTCAAGAATTACGTTCTTTACCTCGTGGCTCTAGGGTGGGTACAATAGCCCAGAAGACTCTAAAGACCACCCCTTTAACATGGACTGGTTTCCTTCATCTCATTAGAGATAAAAATGTAGCTAGTTATCAAATTACTTCTCAAAACAGGGAAATGAAATGCTGCATGCTTTGAAACCACCTTTAGCAGCGTTTTTGGAAGTTTACACAGATGTTTCTATGTCTAGCCATGCTGGACATATGATCAGCACTCAATAAATATTTTCTGAATTAAAGAAACCAGTTGGAATTTAGCTGTTAGGAAATTCTTCCGACTCTCCACATCTTTCATTTAGTGTGGAGTGCACGGGGTTGCCAGCCACGCGGCCGTGTGTGTTTATACAGCAGTCCACAGAGAAGCCGTGTTGCCTGGACGTGGACTGAATACTTGGTCTCAGAAACTCAGTTGTTGTGGGGCAAATTACTATGTGCTTTTCTTACAAGTATGCCAAAGGTATCTTCTGTATTTTGTTTTGGCACCCCTCTTAAGGCACTGGAACATCTGTGGTTTCTCCTATTAGAGAGTGTGTCTGCTGCAGACGTGGAAGGCGGCTAGGCCATGTTGTTCTTTGAGGGCGTGGAATGAGCAAAGGAGAGGAGGGTACGGTTTGTAGAGAGAGCACAAGGGCATGCTGCTTTCCATTTTCACATTGATAATACGTTAACAGACATAAAATCCCACCTCAAGTCTGTGATTTTTAGGATTTTATTTTCTGTCCTTCAGCACCTAAGCTAATAATTTAAAAAGAAAGAATATCTAAATTGAAACACAGCTTTCAAAATTTATAATGCAGATTAATTCACTTCAGATTTAAAGCCAGACGGAAGATGTAGAGAGCCAGTCGAGGTGTGACGTCTTTATATTTATTGAAGTAATTAGTTTTCCAGCCAATGTTAACTGTTTCAGCACTTTTTATAGCCATCTTCTTTAGAAATACACATACAGTGTGTATATGTGTGTGTGTGTGTTTACACACATATACATCCATATATGCAGAGAATTCATATGTTTAGATTTAATTCTCATTTTAGGGGGCAGCTGCTCTTGAGAAAAGCTTCATAAATTCCCATCTCCTCTCTTAGTTCTAAATCTACAGCTCAAGGCCACAGCTTCGATCAAGTGCAGCTGTGGCTTGTGCGGCTCTCAGCACACGTCACTCCTTAAACACCGAACAGAAATCACACCCCAGGCCTGGACCTGCGAGAAGCGAGTGTGCAGGGCTGCCTCGGGGCACGGCCGGCGTGAGCCCTGAGGGCCTTGCTGTGGCGGGGAGATGCTCCACCAGGTCCTGGTTCTTGTGTTCAGGCCGTGGCCTCGCTCTGTGGCCCTCAGTTACCTTCTCTGGGCAGACCGAGCCATCCCAAGTCTTTTCCCGCTCTGCGTCCTGAGGCGTCATTGCTGTGGCTTCTGTCAGTGGGTCACTAACTTACTCAGAGCTCTTCCCTGTTGACAACTGAGCAGGCCCATTGACCCAAAGCACCATGGACCGGGCTCTGCAGTCCAGACGGGCTGGCGCCACCCTCAGACCCCATGTTGGGTCCTTACCACCCACGGTCTTCCACTCTGGGGGCTTCTTTTTGGCCTGAAGCTGGAGAGGACCCTAGGAGCACCAAGCCCAGGACAGCCGCCGTGGGCCCCTCCTCCCCGTGCCTGCCTGTGCAGGCCGCGTGACAGCAGCACTAGGCCTGACCAGGGCAGGAAGGGAGAACTGTTTCCCTAAATGACCCTGGAAGGCGTGTTAGCGCCTTCCTGACACTCGTGGCTGTTGCTGCGTCATCCTTACTGATAGACTGTGAGCCAACTACAGCTTCCCTTTCCAGGCAGGAAACAGGGTCGGGAGCTGTCTCTTGCCCAAGGTCTGTGTGGCTCCACAGGTTCTGATCTCACTGAATCCTTGAGCCTGTGAGCTGGGCGTCACCATCCTCGTTCTACAGGTGTGAGAACGGGGAGCAGCATAGATGGGTGATTTGTCCAAGGTCACTACAGTTGACAGTGCTCCGATCCAACTCTCAACCTGTGTGTGCAGATAGCATCCTCCCAGCCTTTCCCCGCTGCATGTCCTAGAACTTTATAGCTGGGAAAGAGATGTACCCACGTCTTTATGTTATTAAATGTGTCGAGTTTCCTTCCAGCAAGCCCCCCTGCACTAGCTGAGAGAGCTCTCGCATGCTGAGTTGTGAAGAGACCAGTAAGGGGCCGCTTGGCTTTCTTGTCTCTGACTCCCTGAGCAGGGGGGTTCTTAGAGACCGAGGAGGAGAAACACTCCCAGGAAACTGCACTTTCCCTGCAGGCCCCTCCTCCTTCACACTTGGCCCACACTCCTTACCTCCTCCCATCAGTGAGTCAGGAAGCAGGGTTGGTGTGACGTTCCCTCCTGTCTTCTGGAAACGTGGATTTCTAGGGTGGACGTGTGGTCAGTGAGAGCCACGGAAGACTGGTTTGTGTCAGACTCCAGAATGTCAGAAGGCGAAGTTGTCGAGTTGTTCCAGAACCTGGGTGGGGGGCCTGTCTCCACGGAGCTGGCTGATCTGCGAGGCCTGCTCAAGGGCTGGCACCAAACTAGGAGAGGAAGGATGGGCTGGGCAGCACCGTGAGATTCTGTCAGCATCAGTCCAGCGTGGGAGAGCTAAATGAAAAATGGCAGTTATTAAAAACTTGGGAAATGGTCCTCTCCAAAGTCATCATATGATGTCTGGGATTTGTCTCATAGTAACCCAGGAGGGTGGAGGTGAACGAGGGTGGTCGTGAGTTAATGACTCTCGTGGCCGGGCCATGGGCACGCCTGGTGACACGATGAGCCTTTGTGCACAGACTACACAGACGTTTGGGAGTTTCCATGGTGACAGTAAGAGGTGGTGACCTGAATGTGTGGGGAGAAGCAGGGTGATATGGTGACATCCAGGGGACCTGGGGGAATTCACCTTTATCTTAATGTCGTTAAATCTCAGATCCAAGAGGAAAGTCCTTGGCCGTAAAGATTCGGATGATGACCACTCTCGAAACCACTCCCCCTCCCCCCCAGTGACCCCCACCGGAGCTGCCCCCAGCCTGGCCTCCCCGAAGCAGGTGGGGTCAATTCAGAGGAGCATCCGCAAGAGTAGCACCAGCAGTGACAACTTCAAGGCCCTGCTGCTGAAGAAGGGCAGCCGGTCAGACGCCGGCGCCCGCATGTCCGCCGCCGAGATGCTCAAGAACACTGACCCCAGGTTCCAGCGGTCAAAGTCGGAGCCTTCGCCAGACGCGCCTGAGAGCCCATCGAGCTGCTCCCCGATCAGGAGCAGGAGGGCCCAGGAGGAGTGGGCCAGGGGCGAAGGCCTGATGCCACGGAGCCTGTCCTTTTCGGGCCCCAGGTATGGCCGCAGCCGGACGCCGCCGTCTGCAGCCAGCAGCAGGTACAGCGTGAGGAACCGGATCCAGAGCAGCCCCATGACCGTCATCTCGGAGGGAGAAGGGGAGACCATGGAGCCTGCTGACGACAGGGCTCACTGGACCCTGGGCGCTACCAGGAGCTGTCCACTAGATGGACTGGCAGGGGACGAAATATTTGAGGGCAGTCTGCTCCATGGCGGGGAGCCAGCCGCCTCCCTGCGGGCACAGTCTCCTGGCCCTGCGGACGGGACGGCTGGTGCAGAGGGCAGGAGTCCCTCAGAACAGTGCGCAGGTCCTCTGGGGGAAGAGAGTTAGGGGCGCAGATGTGGGTCTCCCCGGTGATGTGGGGGATGCACAGCAGGTTGCTCCACGGGGCCTGGCAGGTCCCCCCACCTGGCCCGTGGCCCCACTCAGGGTTATGTCTGGGCCCTGCAGTGGAACAAGAGGGCTCTTGAGGACTCTTGGGACTTGCCATGTGGCTTAAAAGCAGGTAGAAGCTTAACTTCTGGAAGTGCTTCCTGGGGAAGATTTTGTTTTTTGCTAAATGCTGGGTGTGTGTGTAGGGGTGTGTGTGTGTGTGCATTTTGAATGCTTTTTATGTTAAAAAAAATACACAAACAGCACGTACAGAAATAGGAGAAAGAAAGAAAGCGTTAAGCTGGGTCAAGTAACGAGTCCTCTGGACTGGGTGGTGATTGCTTTACAAGTGTCACATCTGTGGCGTCGGTGAGTTCCAGAGGGGAGAGACCGTTACTTCTGAGCAGGGGCGGTGGGTGTGCTGGTCTGAGCGCACGGACACACGGGCACACACACAGGCATGCTCTCGGGGGGGCCGTGTCCTGGTGCACCCAGAAAGCTGGGAAACGGCTAAGTGACCCATTGGTTCAGGTACTTTTTTCTGGGGTAAAAAGGCTTTGTTTCTTTTTTGTAAAAATGAAACACAGTGGAAGTGTCCGTGCTGTAACATGGAGCCTGCTGCTGTGCAGCCACAGACACACATCTTTCAGCCTGATTTTTAGAAATGTGGGTGATTTTTTAATGACTTCCTCCTTGAGCAGCAGCTGAGACCTTTGAGAGCTGGAGTGACGGGGCGCACATGGAGAGAGGAGGGGGCAGCGGGGTGAGGGACATGCTGCTGGAATGTGTTTCCTGCTTATTAAATAAAGTTATTTTTCAGGATTAAATTTAAAAACTTGCACTACAGAACTGTGGGTGGGGCTTTTCCTTTTACAACTGTTTTTACCAGAGTTTAAACTTCCATTTGGCAATTTCTTATCACTTGAAGTGTCAGCATTTGTTAACTTTTGGATATCCTTCTGGTCACACCAAAGAAAAACGGCTGTTTTTTCTAGAATTGCCTACAGTTTCATGTCCTCATTTAGAAAGGTTTATCAAGATCTATTATATGTTATCTTATTTGAAGAAAATGCTGAATAGCTCTTGTTAGTCAAATAAACTGATAAAAATTGTCAGGGCCTGGCTATTAATTAGCCCTGGGAAATGGGTTTTTAGATTAAAAAGATTTTTTGCCTCATTTGGTTTGTGCATTTTTATATTTTTTATAAATATTTGAGTTGGCTACTTACCTTCTAATCTTCTCCAGTTAGAATTTTAACACTTGTAGACATGGGAGAAGAGTGTGTCGAGTATTTATTTTTATGTCGTATTCTTTTGACCCCTTCCCCCATCCCTCCCTCCCAGATGCCATGTACATAGGCCCCTTGATTTCTTGAAATAAAACAGAGTCTTGTCTCCTTCATTAGAAGGACCTAACATGACAACACTGAGATTCTTGGCCTAAATACCATGCAGCTGCCAATTGTCATCTTTTTTGGTATGAAAATATCATTTTATTATTTATCTAATAAAACTATAGATACCCATTTTAGACCTGTCTTTGAGACAAAAACAAACCTGAGGAATTTAGGCTCCTTCCCTTCTCTGAAGAAAACAGATCACTTCTTTTCATACAAGCAGATCAAGACCTGACATCTGGCCAAGGGCAAAAGGCCTTTTTAGCAACATGGTGCACAAGGGTCTTTTCTTCTAAACTTGAGAAAAGTGGTGTTGGCTTTTGAATTCGCAGTCTTCTCATAACTACCTAAGAAAGATTAGAATGTACGTGGATATCAGAAAACTTTAACTTAATATATAAATCATTTATGTTGAAGGTAAGATAAGCAACATCAAAACTAATTATAAAACTATAAAAATCCGTTTTTAAAGGAAAAAATATATTAGGTTTTTAAATTTGCTTTGAATAAAACAATAAAGTAAATATTTGACCCTTATTTCTTTTTGTTTGTACCCGCGTTTTTGAGTAATGAGATCGGTCTTTCGAAGAACTGGGGATGGCTCGCTGGGTACAAGCAGAGGGGCCGGTGGGAGGTGGGGCCCTGGCAGGAAGGAGCTGGCCTGTTGCAGACCCTGCGGATGCGCCACCTAGAGATGGATGGAAGAACAGCTCTGGATGACGTCCTGCGGGCTCCTGAATAAAAAATACAAACAGTGCGTTGACTAAGTTCAGATGTGACGTGGAGAGACGGGAGAACACGTCCCAGGCTCGGATGAGACGAGAGTCTAGACTCACCCCTGAAACGTGACGGCATCTCGAGCATTGCTTCTTCCTCTGGCGGGGGGGCTCACTCTGTTCACGACGTTGTCGCATTTGAAAACTCAGGGTGGATTTGATGACCCTCTTTATCCCTGAGACAGTAGGTGCCAGGTAGTCATAGACAGAAGCCCCAGGGCTATTTCCACCTTACTTTTCCTAAGAGTTGGCAGAAAAACAAATGGCCATTTGCTCTGCAGGTTGGAAGCAGCCTCCACTTTAGTCTGATTTTCTCCTATTTCTGAAGAAGGCTGATGGAAATCACTGCTTCTCATGTGGGGACGATTGTATTGTTTGGGGAGTGACAGGACAAGGAAAGAGAAGGAGGCATTTCTGTATCTGGGTCTCATCCCCCCACCAGCACCGCCCAGCTCTGGTGGGCATCGGCGGGCGGGCAAGATGGGATTGGTTTATTGGTCCTGCTGTGCGGTGTTGTCAGCACATTGACTGAATGTGAACACTGGTTTATATGCTGAGATTCCACCACGAAATGAGCACAACAGGTCAGTTCACTGTGGCAGATATGAGGATATTTTGGGGGGAAAAGAGAGTCTTTTGAACAAAACAGGGACCTGATTCTTGAGGTCTGGTTGATTTTTGAGGTCCGTTTTCCTGTAGTAAGCTATTCAGAGACCGCGATCAAGTTTCTTTCAGTGAGCTGCCCTATACCCTCTCCCCTCAGGCCAGCCTTTATTCTCAGAACAAGGACTGTGATCATTTGTTCCGTGGAAAAAGCCCTGTATTAAATGCTTGTCATGTGCAAGGTGAGGATGAGGGAGTTCTAGGATAGAAACGTGTGGATGAGATAGCGGTAAGGGGCTTCACACCTGGTGAAAAGACACACAGCGACCTCTCCTGTACCACACGTCAGTGTCAGAGCAGGTGAAGGGGAAGAGGGCGGGGACCCCACCTGACACGCACCCCTTTACCAACAGAGCACTGAAGGGGGTTCAGGCTGGCAGTGCACCCAACCTGACCTGAGACTCACAGCCCACAGTCAGGAGGGCCTTGGGGCAGTGAGACATGGGCAGGAGCCTGGGAATTCGCAGGAGATCAGCTTTCCTCGAGTCGATGCCGTCCCTCCTCTGTGGCCTCCTTCCTCCTTTCCTCCCTGGAGAGCGTGGGGACCGGAGGGGAAGAGCAAGCTCTGCTGCAGCCTCTGAGGCACCAGGAAGCATGGGAGCCACGTGTCGTGGAAGGTGGATGAGAAGGGAGCCAATCGCTGCACCAGCCGTGGGCTGTCTGCCTCCAGACCCCGTGGGTGAGTCGCTGTTCACTCCCTTTGCAGTTGGGCGACACGTCTTCAGAGGGAGACGTCACTGCCTCTGACCAGGTGGATGGGGAGGGGTCGGCTGTGGTGACCTGAGCTGACTTTTCCTATTCAGAGGATCTCACCAGGGAGGGGCCGCTGGCAGAAGAGACATTCCAAAGGGAGGGAGAGTGTGTGCAAAGGCCCAGAGGCAAAGTGTGTGGAGGAAGCCATGTGGCAGGAGGAGGAAGCCTCTAGAAAAACTCTGGGACACAAGACTGGAGGTGGTCTCAGGTGAGAATGTCAAGGGATTGGGCTTTGTTGTGTCGTCCTGGGACAGGGGAGGTTTTTAGGAAGGGGAATGATGTGGCCTGGCTTGTTCTTAGCCTTATTCTCCCTTGGGGACTATACGTAATCGGAAGCATTAAATAAACGTGACGTGTACTGGAAACCCCAGCATCTCCCGTCCTGACTTCCTCCGTGAGCTCCGGATTAGTATGTCACCTGCCTGCTCAGAATCTGCACTGAGAGGGGTTGTGAACCTAATATATCCAAACTGTGCTTCTCCCCACGCCTTCACCTTGCCAGTTAGCAGCGCTACCATTCACGTGGCTCCCGCCCTGGATCTCAGCTCTTCCTCGTGGCCTCTCTTTGCTTTTCACCCCACGTCTAAACCATAAGCGAGTCATGTCAACCGTGTTCCCAGGATACCACAAATCCGATCACTTCTCACAGCCCCATGCCACCTCTCAGCCAAACCGCTCTCTCCTGACGAGACCGTTGCAGCGGCCCCCACTGTCTCCTGGTCTTTGCTGTGCATCTCCACCCACTCTCAGCTCGCCTACAAAATAAGCTTCTAAAAACAATTCGCGGCGCTCCCCTGCTCGAAACCCGCCGAAGACTGAAGGTTACAGTTGGAGTAGGACTCGCACTCCTTGCTGTGGCCTTTAAGATCTGCCACTGGTCCCCTCACTCAAAAGATTTGGCCTCATTCTCCTGTCTGTCCCTTGATAGAAGCTCCTTCCCACCTCAGAGCCTTTATTTTACCAACTGAGAAGAAAAGTTCCTGTATTTCTCTGCTGCTTTAGGTTCCTCAGGAAGTAGACACTAAGACAGGAAGGCCAAAGGTTTTGTTGGAGTGTCACGCCTTTGGAAGGAAAAGGGAGGAGGGCAGGGAGAGGTATCAGGCTGACCGGTCAGCCGGTGCGATGGGGGCTCTGGGGAGAAGACCACCCATTGGAGGAGTCCTATGTTGGACAGAAACAGATCGGTCCTTTCCCACTGCCTTGCTTGGTCTTTGGCAAGAGGCCACCCTGAGAAAATTGTGCCCTCAATTTCCACGGCTTAGTGAGATCGTTGGCCACCAGCCCTTCTTGCCTTGAGAATGGCGTGACCTCGGCTGGAGAGCCGACAGTTGGAAGCTGTGAGCTCACCTCACCTCTGGCAGCTGGCTGGCAGGTCTTTTCTTGAAGGGGGATCTAAGTGACATCTCCACGCCTGCCTCAGTCCACCCCTTGTGCCATGTGCATCTTCTTGCCCATAAACACGGGAAAAGCAACTCTTCCAGGGCTCTGGGGGACTTCCCTTCCTGAGGAGACATTGAAGAAGAAGAGCTTGGTGGGGGCAACTATAGCAGGGACTCATCTCCCCAACTCCAAACTCCTTTCTCCCTTGATGTCACCTCTGCTGGTCTCGGTGGCTTTCCTGAGAGTGTGACCAAGCTCTCACTCCCAGGGGCTCTGAGATCCCCAGAGCCAAACCCTTCTCAGGCCAGGGTTGCTGCACTGTCCGTTCACAGCTACAATTGGGCGAGGAGGACGACGGGTGCCCCAGGTGGGTCCCCCGAGTTCCACACATCATGTGACAGCAGGCTCACCTCCTCTTGAGTTCAGGATCAATTACCCCTGACAAAACAGTGACTCTTCTTGGCTGTCGTCCCTGGGCATAAGGAGACAAGTGCCCAGGTGGCAGCTGTAGGTTGAAGTTCAACGGTACCCTTGCTGTGTTGCCTAGGGAGGGTCTACACCTTTGAGAGCAAGGGCTTCGGGCTCTGCAGAGCCCAGAGTTGTGGGGTGGAAAGTCCTGTGTTCCTCAGTGGGAGTGATGGTAAGTAGGGTCATCCTCCTTCCACCCCTTGGTTCCCAGATCCATGTGTCCTTGCTGTTGTGGACACAGCTCCCGATAGGTCCTCTGATGTAGTAAGTATACTGTGTCCAGGAGATGGTGTCTATCTTGGCTGGGTGTTGCCTCCAGCCAGCACTAAGGCGGGTCATCCCAATGTTCTGTCAGGCCAGCAGCTTCTGGGTGGTGCAGTGTGAGAGAGGACCAGTGGGTCCTGTGGCCATGGGCTAACTCTTCTTGACTAGACGTTATGATGTGTAGATCACACATTCAGTAAATTCATGCCAGCGATCAGAGGTTTTGTAAGTCCCTAGACTGTGGTGCTAGTCAAGGCCCTGTAAGCAGGAAAGAAAACTGCATACCTCGAATAGATGTCCACCCTTGTGCAAATAAACTGCTGGCCCCTCCCAGAAAGAATGGGCCCAATACAGTCAACATCGCGTCGCATGACCCGCTGGTCTTCTCACGGCCTCACCAGGGTCTCAGCATTGCTATCCGTGGCTGGCAGGTGGGACATTCAAAGGTAGCAGTATCTAGTCGGCCTTGGGAAGTGGGAGTCCATGGTGTTGAGGTCCATGGTGTTGAGGTCCATGCAGAGCCTCCGTCTTGGCCACCATGGCCACTCTGTCTGTGTGTCCACCTTTACCGGCCTGGGGTGGGCATCCACAAGAGCCGACGCAGACAGGCTGAGTCATTTCGTCTGGTTGTTTAGCGCCTCTGCTGCTAAGCACTAAGATGTGATACAGAGTTTTTCAGGTTCTGTGTCCTCTCCCGTATGTCCATCCGCAAGCTCTGCCCCCAGACCTCCTCGTCTCAATCATCCATTCTTTTTCTTTCTGAACTCCCAACCAGTTGGCCAGGCCAGTGAATGGAATCACAGCCATGATTCCATATGTATTTTACCTTTCCTCCCTCACAAAGTGAACGACCAGGTTCCTCACTAAAAATTCTGCCCTTTTTTTGCAGAAAGATTGCAGATATTTTTCTTGAAGCTGCCTTGCAATGTCACTCCTGAGTGAAGGTGTAATGCACCTGCTGTCCATTTCAGCTTGCACCCACATAGCCAACTCATCGATAAACCAAGTTCAGGCTTTTCCCTATTCCTTCAGCTGACCATACAGGCCTTCCAAACAGCCTTAGGGAGGGAGGAGGCAGGGGTGCAGCCATGGTGCCATGGGAGTGGGCTCCCTGCTCGTGCAACCTGCTTAGTGCTCTGCCTTCTTGTGATTGCTCCTGGAGGCATCATTTCTGCCTTATAATGGACTGTTGCTGGTCCCACCAGCTTGATTCTGACAGGACCCAGCTAGGACAGGCAGTTCTGCACACATCATCTCAGAGTGTCTCATTGTTCTGTCTCCACCAGGTCCCAGCAGAACACCACCAGCTGTTTTTCAAAAAGCATGTCATTCTCTCCTGCAGTTAGCACAGCCTTGCTTCAGGACCCCAGGGACCTGCACTGGGATTCTCCCATTGGGACTTGTCATAAATTCTACACTGCATTTTTTTTCACCATTGACACCCCCGATATCGTAGGATCTGCCAAATTACGTGATCCAAGCTGCTGATTCCTTCACAGGTGTCACTTCTGGGTCTGTTTCTAGTGATTGCTTTTTTCTCCCTAATTATGGGTCATATTTTTCTGTTTCTGTGCATATTTTTCTAGTAATTTTTTACTGGGTGTTGGGATTGTGAGTGGATTTTGTTTTATTCCTTTAAATAGTATTGGGCTTTGTTCTGGTGCACGGCCAAGTGTCTTGGAGTCAGTTTGATCCTTTCAAGGCTTGCTCTTGAGCTTTCTCAGGGGATGTCCCCAGAAGCCTTTGGTTTGGAGACGGTTTAACCTCACTGCTGAGGCTGCTCCCTGATGCCCCAGGCTCCTCTCTCCCAGCCCCCTGTGTGGTCCCGGGATTGTTTGTTCTTCCCCTTTCCAGTTGCTCATTTCTCAGCCTGGGCAGCTTCTCACACCTCCACAGGTCGGTCGAGGACCAAGGGCCACTGCAGACGGCAGAGCTGTGTGCTGCCTCCTCCTCTCCTTCACTCTGCCCCACCGATCCTCCCTGCCTCGCCCTCCCTCACGTTGACCTGTCTCCTCAGCTCAGTGAGGCCGGTGGTCTCTGTGTGGTCCCCCTCCCTGCTTTGCTGCCTAGAAGCTGCCTCCTGGCCGTAAGCTTGACCCTCACTGAACTCACCTTGTTCCCCTTCTCCCAGAGGCCATGGTCACGTGCTGTGGCCTCTCAGTGTCTGGTTCCCGTGGTATCATCACGGCCGGCAGTGCCTTCCCATCCAGTGTGCCGTTCCACGTAACGGTAACCATTAGACGGCCTCCTGGTGCTCGGAGCTGCCTGCGCACTGCCTGTCCCCCAGGGCCGGGGGCCGGGTAGCCCAGTCCTCAAACGCGGTCTTGACACCCACAGCCTTGGGTCGCCCTGATCCCAGTCGTGCCAGTGTGACGCTGAGGCGGAGTTAGGATCACAAAAGACGTATGGCGGTCTCCTCTCCGAAGGGAAGAGGGGAAGCAGAGTTGGGCTGGCGGCTGCTGACTGCAGTGCGGTCCTGATCCGGTCTCTGCAGCCCACCCGGGAGCTCCAGAGCACAGTCTGTTTATTAGAGGGCCCTGAGTGGGGCAGAAATGGCTGGGTCCTTGTACCCCCACGGTGCTCGGTCTTTGGCTGGAAGAACCCAGAAAAAAGCAGGCTGTCAGCTCCCCCTGCCTTGCACAGTCACAGGCTGGGACCCCCTGAGAACAGGGTGTCCTGATGTTGAAATCTGCGGTGCACCCTGAAGGAAAGAAGGCTGGAGAAGGCGGCGAACCACACCCCTCACCGCGGGGCAGCCGGTCCTCTCCCGAAGGCGGGTCTGAGCGCGCGCCGCCACGGGCTTGTCGCCACACACGCAAGTCCCGGAGGAGAGATGGCTGTTCTTTGGCCACAGTAGCAAGTAAGTCCCGGAAACCATCAATGACAGCTTTGCCTCAGTACCCTCGCCTCTGAACCGGGCTCCAAATCGCGGCAACCAGCAGCGGGCTCGCCCTGGGACCGCACCTCCAGGACTAACGCTCAGTGACCCGAAGCGCTTCCGCAAGCCCGCTAGTCCGGACCGCGGCGCGTCCTGGAAACCGCGCGCGGTCAGCGGCTTCCCTCGTCCCGAGAGGCGTCCTGCGAGCACAGCTCTCCGCTCAGCAAGCGGGACGCGCGGCTGCTTGTTCTGGATCCCGAAGGTGGCCTTTCCTTTTGACTTTGTTGCTCTGCCTGGATGCCCCCGACCCCGCCTCCATCTGACTGGCTCCAGCTCATCACTCGAGTCTCAGATGTCTCTTCCTCACAGGGGCCTTGCCTGACCCCCGCGTGGCGTCCACTGCACTCTGCCAACCTGCACTCCACCCCTGGCCCCGTTTCTCTGGTATTTGAACTCTCCCTCTGCGACGTCAACTCGGCGAGGACAGAGCCCGGGCTGCCCCGGCCCCGCGGTGTGCTCCGCAGGAAGGCGGACGGGAGAGAAGGGCGAGGAACGCCGCCGGATGAGGGACGATGCAGTCCCCGATGAAGAGGTCTGCTCACCACCGTGCCCCGGGGCCCTGGAACCGAGTGCAGTGCCTGGAACACAGTGGGGACTCCGTGATGCCTTATTCAAAAACTAATGGACATGAATGACATTTCAGTGAAATGCTTAGGGAGAAAGCAAGATTTTAGAGGGTTAAGTGATGACTAGAAAGGTTTGAATGAATGAATGCATGGAGTTAAATGAATTGTTTTCAGACTTTTTGAAATATGTACTCGCGGGAAACATTGACATACACACGGACAAACGTGGACTGCTCTGCCGGGGGCACAGAGGTGGGTGGGGGCTGCCCCCTGATTCCCGCAGGGTCCCCAAGATGCCTCCTCACCCCCTAGAGCTCCAGGGAAGCCTTTGGACACCACGGCAGGGAGAGGTGGGAATTGTCATCCTAGACAATGGTCTAGGGGGGCTCTGGTCTTGGTTTCGGAGGGCAGAGGACCGGGCAGAATCTGAGCCTGTTGGTGAGCAGTGACTGGAAGCTGTGCAGGGAGGTCCTGGAGACAAGCGGAAAGGGAGGATTGATGGAGCAAGAGTTAGACCAGCAGCAAAGGTGGGGGTTCACCCCTACAACAGAGTCTAGACACCAAGTTCCTATACCAAAGAGAAGAAAAATCTCAATAGAAATGTTGACGTAAGGGATATTTTGTAGTCAGTGCCAGCCACATAATTAAAATAACTGATTCAGTGCTGTAAGAAATACTTTCTGGGTTGATCAATTTAGGGCTGAAAAATTTTTTGCTTATGGTTTATGGAAAAGGAGGGAAAAATGGGATACCCTGGACTTGTACAAAATCAATGTTTTTATCGAACATGTTTCAGATTACAACTAAATCTTGGTAATCAGAAATATGCTTTTCTCATTTAAAATAGAATTTATTGCATAAGAGATGCCTATTTCATGTAGGACTCTAGAGTAGATATTAGAAATATCTACCTCATACCAGTAGAGGCTGGTACTGTGGACATTCTCCAGTGGGAGGCTAGAAGGTGTCCTCCCACTGGACAGTTGATGATGGTAAATGAGTTAAAAAAAGAAATTTCTTTTTGGCAAGCACAAAAATGCAAAGAATCAATAAATAATGCAAGCAAATGCCTTTGGAAAATAATTGCCTGGGATTTTAAAATTTATATCCATAATAATATCAAAACCAGAAATCTAGCTTGTTTTGTATCAAAAATTCCAGTCTCAAAGGTGTCTCTGAGGTCAGAGTCATGTTCATTGTGCACGTATGATGTGCAGGAAGAACGCCTCTGTGTGTCCTAATGCACTGACGGCCTGAGACAGCCGCATCTTGAGTAGCCGTCTGTCAGCGGGACTTGGTGGTCCACAGGGTGGACCCCGGAGTCAGACTGCCTGGGCTCGGGCCACCCATGCCCTTTCAGTTCCTGGGGCACAAAACATCTCTGTGCCCATGTCCTCGTCTGTGAAATGGAGACAATACAACGTGGCACAGAGTTGTTCCGAGGCTTGAATGTGGTCCTTCAGGTGAAGGGCAGGAAGGGTGTTCCAGAGGGCAGTCCACACGGCAGCCACAGGAACCAGCAACCATTGCTCTACTGGAGCCAGGTTAGGGAGATCCATCTCAAGAGATACTGCACAACACTGGGGTGAAGGGATCTTAAGCATCACCTGCCCGATCCTCTCATCCATCGGATGCTCACATCTCCCATGAAGTGACCACGTGGTTTCTGCTTAAACACCACCGTGCCGGGAACTGGGAGTGTGTCATCCTGGGCAGCTTTAACTGTCAGAGTGACTGAGTTCCAACCAGCTCTTCTCCTTCACGCCTACCACCACCATCCTCTGAGCCACGGAAAAGCCACGCCCTCCCGCAACAGCTTCCAGGGGTCTGAACGTGACTTGTCTTCCCCAGGACACGCACGCTCCTACACTCCTAGGAGAGGATTTCAACCTCCTTGATTTTGCGGCAACCTGCTCTGAAAAACTAACCATTTTTATACGACCTCCAGAAATGCTATATGAAATACTTTAAAAATTCAGCTGAATTTTTAAATTACATTTTGGTAACATTTAAAACCGTGCCATTATTGAGTATCAAAATAGGACAGGCAGTCCCTAACTTCATAAATTTATTCTTTGTCACAAAATACTATCAACACTTTTGGGAATTGTGAGAATTTTCTTGGGTGGTGGGGGCCGGGGGCCAAGGAGGATTAGGACTCCACAGAGAACGCAACAGTGGCAGCTGCAGAAAACAATTCCACTTTTGTGTCCAACTGACCGTCACCTCTCCAGGCTGACAGCCTAGTGGTTCCACCCGGGATAAATCTTTAACATTTTTATTGGCAATATCTGGAGGGGAGGACATCAAGTGACCCACATCCAAGTAGAGAAAGGCAATGTGATTGTGATACAGTGAAGAGGGGGAGTAACTCCACATGGAGCCTCGGGGACATCAAGCTCTGCAGAGCGTGGTGTCCCATTCAGGGGCGTGTAGAATGCTGCCCCCTGCTGCCTGATCTGCGTGTCTGATGAAGCTTCAAGCACTGAAGAGGCACATTGGGGATAAGCCAGTCACAGGAGGGCCCTCAGGCAGAGCTGGCAGACACACGGGTTACTCACAGGTGGTGCTGTGTCTCCAGCAAACAGAAGCTTTGCCCCTGGCAATGGAGCTTCCTCTCGTTTCTCACTCCTTTTCTTTGGAGGGTTCATTTTTCTGAATCAACCACACTTCGTTGTTTCTGTTAAGCAATTTGAAAGGACTGCTGTAGCCTGCAGTGTAATAAACCTTTTCATCGAAAACTTGTCCTTCTTCCCTCAAAATGCTTGCCAACGTCAACAGTTGTTCTTGATTCTTCCGGGCACTAGAGAATCCGTCGAAAGACCTACAGAGGAGAACGGACGACCATGAGTGATGTTAATACTGATGCGAACGTCGGTCTGAGGAAGAGAGGAGCTGACACCACGAACGCTGACGAAGTGAGTTTCGAAGCTCCTCCCTCTCAGCAGCTGAACCGACCGTTCCTTCCTCTGCCCCAGTCTCAATGTGACCTCCACACCCTGAGGAGGCCCAGGAGGAGCACACCCATCGTGGGCAGGCGGAGGTGGAATTTACACCCTCTCCTGCGCTAACTCTGCTCCTCCAGCCTCAGTGTGCATCTGAGCCACCAGGGCATCCTGCTAGAATGCAGACTCAGGAGGTCTGCGATGGGGCCTCACTCCGAGTTCCCAACAGTCTCCCAGTAATGCTGATGCTGTCGGTCAGCAGACCCATTGACACCCCCTCAGAAGCCTCCCTTCCAGACTTTCCATTTTCTATCAAACATTTCCCCTTTCTCCTTCTCCTTGGGAAAAGGGCAGGCCCTGTACAGATGAATTCATGATATTGTTGAATTTACAGTCTAATGGAAGAGTCTTAACAGAGACGGGATCGAAGTGCTGTGGGAACACTGAGGACACGATTAAATCGGGGTTGGGGGTCACCTGAGCTGGTCTGGAACGGAGGGTGGTTTTGCTGAGCTGAGAAAGGGAAGGGATAGGAAAAGGAGCAGAAGTCCAAAATTACAAAGCATTTTCATAGTGAGACAGAAAACGGGGTCAGAAAGGTGAGGCAGAGCCAGGAGGAAGAACCTCGTGCATCGTCCTAAGGCTTCTGAGATTATTCCAAAGGATGCTGAGTAGGAAAGGAACTCGATCAGATCTGGTAAGAATACAGGCAGACAGATGGAAAGGGCACTGGGGAGAAGGAGCCAGTGAGGAGGTTGCTACAGGAATGAAAGGCAAAAACAGTCAAAAGATAGAAATAAAAGTGGGAAAAGAGAATAAAAGTTTAAGTATAGATTTTAAAGTATATAAACATACATATCCTGAGATTAAATCAGGACAGCACACAGACCAAGCTGAGTTGCTGACATGTAAACATGATGGGTTTTATTTTGAAGGTTAAGAATAGGAACACAGAGAAACAAAAATATTCCTAATATGCCATCTTCAGCATAAGCTTTATTATCCATGTGCTGATGGAAAAGATCAGTCCCACCACTCTTCAGATATGATGCGGGCTCTCAAGGGTACAAACCAGGCCTGTTTCATTCAACAAGGTCTCCTGGGCACCCGGAATCATTCCTGGTGTGCAAAACTTCTTAGATCCTTGTTGAATAAGTGTAGGAATCTATGCACGTGTATTTAAAATATTGAAGATAATTTTCATCGTGTTGACTGATAATGATAATTCTGAACCATGTGTTAAGAAATATATTGGTTCCTAAATTTATTGTTTATTTCCTTAAGGAATAGCCAGCTCTTGGTATGTTCTGCCTAAAGGGAATTTGTTTTCAGATCCTACTTCTTTGAAATCAAATCTTGAGCCCTCTAATTATAAGCTATCTTCTGTCCTCTGAATACATGTTGTTCTGCGATGATCTGTCCAAGGCTTTATTCAGCACACAAACATATACTGACCCCCATCGCCCCCATGCGTGCCCTGCTCAGAGCTGGAGGAGGTGGGCAGAGTGACACGTTGCCGTGTTCATGAGAAGCTGCAGTGTATACTCAGGTCATCGTAACTTAGAACAACAGAAGGACAAAGTGCTGTCTGGCTGGAGAGACTGAGGGAGGCCTCACAGATGAGGTGCCACCTGATCTAAGTCCTGAGGGACCATCATGTGACAGGCTCGAGGGCCCTGCTGAGGGTGACAGGAGCACCCAGGGAGACCGAGCGGGCTGCACCCGACGGGGTGAGAGGGGTACACGGAGTGGAGGAGGCAGAGACAGCGAGTCGTTGTCAGGTGGGTGGTGACGAGGGAGAGACGGAGTGATCAAGCGGCTACAGGAGATGATCACCACTCATGCATGTGTCTCTGAATTTCAACAGAGAGACTGTAATGTCAGGACTGAGTCGGCCAGGTCCTAGGGGTGTGAAAAGTAACAAGACTAACAGAGGAGTAACTGCAGGAAGCAGCTCCCATCTGTTGGGCTGGGGAACAGGAGGAGTCTGGGGTTGTCAGAGCCTAGAAGCTGGGAGGAGGGGACCACACACTGCATTTTACAGCATTTTTGTTCAGGGTGACTAGATGGCAGGTGAGAACAGTCTTATGCCTTTTTTTTCTGGTATAATTTGTATTGTGTCTTACATGTGGAAGGTGTGCAATATACTCTTCATTCAATAAATTGATTGTATCTTGCAAGAGACCCTTAGTAACATGTAAAACTGAGCCGGTAGGAAAACACCACGAAATGCACTGGACTTGTTTTACGGAAGGGTGAAGAGCTGCTGAAACCCCATAGGAGCACCACTGTGAGAGCAGGCCAGTAAAAGGAGCCTCTTACCATGCAAACACCGTCATCTCGGCTCTGTCTTCAATGAAGACATCTGACTCCGAGGGCCTGGGCGGATCAAGTTGCTGTTCTGAGGGCACATACAGGGAGACGGTGACGGTAGGCTGGCTAAAGGGACCTGCCCCGGGCTCCACGCAGGTCGTCACGGGAGCTGTCATCTTTATTTTCGTCTCTGCGCCATGAAAACATACATTAAAATACAAAGGAGACCATGAAAGCAGATGGAGTGTATGTATGACTACTTTAAAAAACTTAACCTATTCTTTTTTGATCTGAGGTTTTTGCACTACTGACATAAATATTTACCTTTAAGATAATTTTCTTCTTTAAAAAATAAGGCCAAAAGGACTCAATTATCCACTGCCCACATTGAACACTTTTTGTACTATTAATACTTTTGGTTAATGAATTCTCTAGTTTTAGGGATAGAAGGGAAAATGAGAGATCACACAAGCCATTCTTTATTTTCACAGTTCAGACACTGGAGTCCCATTAGCTAAGTGATCTACACAAACAGCGCCAGAGCCAGAACCAGCGTGTCCTGAGCCTCGGACCCCGTGCTCCTCATTCCTCCTGCCTCCTTGAGCACACAACCACAAGTCACACAACCACGGGGCACACAACCACGAGGCACACAAAGCACACAACCACGGGGTACTGAACCATGAGGCACTCAACCACGAGGAACACAACCACAGGGTACACAACCACAGGGTACACAACCACGAGGTACTCGACCACACGGCACACGACTGTGAGGCACACAATCACGAGGGACACAAGGCACTCAACCACGGGGCACGCAACCACGGGGCACACAACCATGGGGCACTCGACCACAGGGCACACAACCACGAGTCACACAACCACGGGGCACACAACCACGAGGCACAC